TCAGACCACGGGAACAGCGCGGTTTTCCAGCTCTCCTTTGGCCCCGGCGCCGCTCCCCGTGGCCGGGGGAGGATTTTGGGGTGAACGCGGGGGTTTCGGGGAAGCGGCCGCGCGTTTCCCCGGGGAAGGGGTGGTGATGCTGATGGTGATGATGATGATGATGCCGTGGTGATGCTGGGTGAGGGATGGGGCCGGGCTGCCCCGGAGCAGCTCCTCCCTCTCGCTATTTATTCCTCCGCGGAGCTCCGCGGCTGATTCACCTCGGAGCGGGCGGGCAGCGCGTTCCCAGCCGGTGAGTACCGGGGGGCTCCGGGGGGGATAAACCCACAGGCGAGGGGGGTTTGAGCCCCGGGGATGCGGGGCTGCCTCTTCCCTTGACGGAAAAATGACATTTCCAGCGGCGCCTTAAAAGCCAGAGCGCTGCTCCTGCCCGGGTCTTGTTTACTCAGCGTTTACTCCAAATCCGCAATTCCTTCTCCGAGGATTCCGCCCTTTGCCCCGGCCGCCAGCTGCTCCCCCGTTCCTTGGAGGCGTGAAAGGGGCGAGGGGAGATTTCTAAACCCAGGGGTGACATTTTAAGCGAAATTCCCATTTTATTCCCAATTCCCAGAGGCCCAGACCGGAATTTTCAGCCCAGGAGGCTCCGGACCCCCCCATCCCCGAGCATCTTCCCCTTCCCCACCTCCCTTCTCTCCTTCTCCCCCTTCTCGGGGACTTTCCCGAGCTTATTTACGGAGGTATTTTTGCACCTGGGTGTTGGTTTTTCCCCCTCCGAAGAGAAACCTCCTCCTTGCCAACGCCGAGCACGTAATTGCTGCTCGCAGACTCCATTTTCCACCGGGTTCCTCCAGCAGGGATGAAAATCGGCTCCGCCACAAAACCACCTGAATTAATTCTTCATTTCCAGCATCCGCCGGGAGGGCGAATCTGGGGCGGAAAGGTTAAAAAAAAAAAAAAAATCCCTGTGAAATCACTCGATCCGTAATTTAATACTAATGCCACGGGCAGGCTATAAATAGCATTTCCCGGCAGAGAGATCCCAGCTCCGGGATTTTATTTCTCCGAGAGAAATCTGGGATTTTTCCGGGAATAAATCCCGGGTTCCCAGGAAGCAGCTCCTTCAGGGCTTTGGCCAGCGAACGCAATTATTTGGGGCGAAGCTAATTAGCGCCCGGATCCTGTTTGTCAGAGCTGGAAATGCAATTAGAGGAGCTCAGCGCTGCAATATCTCGGAATTCCTGAATCAGCCTCAAACCCCGCGATTTCCTCAATAAAACCACCGCAGTGCTCTGCCAGAACCCCCCTCCAGCCAGGTTTTTAAATTTTTAATTCAACCTGGGCCTGGTTTTTTAACCCCTCGGAGCTCACGGCGGGGAGGGATAGCTCCCAAAAATCTATTTTCAAGAACGCCCCTTGGCTGCTTTTCCCTCCCGCATCGCTCGTTTTCCCGAGCACCCAAGGAGCCGTTTTTTTGTTTGTTTTCCCCTGTTTTTGGGGCTATTTTTAAGCCTGATCTCATCCCTGCTCCCAGCGGGTGGGTGAGGGAGGCAGCGAACCCCAGGGCGGCTCCTGGAGCCCGGATTTTCCCAAGGATTTTCCCAAGGATTTTCCCAAGGATTTTCCCAAGGATTTTCCCGAATCCCTCCGGGATTGCTGCCCGTCCCCAGGGATGCGCTCCTGCATCCCCCGGGCTTGTACCGAGGCTCTGCCAAGGATCCCTCGAGCTTGGGGGGGTTTTAATCCGAATTAAAGCCAGATTTGGGCAGGAAAATTCATCACTGAGGAACCCA